CGCGTGTAGGGGGTGACATGAGCAAGCTCTGTCCACAGACCTTCTCCCGGCTGCTCCGTCCCCACCGTCCCCGGCTTGCTGCCCTGGCTCTGTCTCGTCTCTCGCCTGCTCTCTTCCCCGGGGTGGCCCGGCAGCAGCCAAACTCTGGTTCCGCAGACCCCGTTGGGAGCCTCGAGCCAACCTGGGACCCCTTTGATTCCCACCCAGAAGCCACTGATCGTTTCGGTGCTGGGCCAGGCTCAAGCAGATCACTTTGTACTACGCCGACATCGCCCTCCTCCTGCAGTAAGGGATCTCTGCTTTCCTCCTTGTCAGCTTGGGCTCTTCTCAGGGTTGCTTTCTGCTGTATTTTATATCGTAGTGCTCTGGCACTTCACCCCTCTAACAGGTTTCCTCCTTTCCCGGGTGCGGACCCGGAGCAGCTCACCGCTCTGCGTTTTGGATGGTACTCTTTAACCAGATCTTCTCCTTTTGCAGCTCTTCGCTGACGTTCGCCTCTGTACATCTGGGAAGAACCCCTGCCTGGGCCGTGCTTCCTCCCGAGAGCAACAGCACGACGCTGGCACGTTTAGAATAAATTTTGATCCTTCCTCCTCCGGCATCGCCGTCCTTCACGCCCGCAACCTTTCCCAGCCGTCACCCGGGGGCTCACACCAGCCCCTTTAGAAACGGGCAAACCCATTTCTCCTTTCAATAGTTGCAAGACACGAATGGGGACATCCCCGTAGCCCCTGCATCCTTCAAAGTCTGATTTGGCTCTCGGTTAAGCTCGAGCCTTTTTGCCACAGCGCCTCAAACTACTCGGCGTTTAAGAGAGATTTAGCTGAAATATGTCCCTCTGCAACGATTTTGTTTTCTTCCGAACGCAAAGAAATTGCAGGGCTGCACGCGAGTCCTTTGTTTCGTGCGATCTGCGTAAATAGTGCGTGTAGCGGAGCTACGCTTCAAAAAGGCAGAAGCAACAGTTAAAATAGATACAAGTACTGGAGTCTGGGAAGTGTGGTTTGGGGTTTAGTCAGGCCTTTGGTAGTTCGCCTGACGATTCAGGCCACGTTCGAGGTTCAGTTGGTTACATACGGTAAGTCAAGTTTTGCTCTCGTTCATGCTGTGCTCGGGCTGACGCGCCGGGGGCGCAGTCCGGCCCTGGCTGGGGGAATCAACCCCACCTCCCTTCCCCGCTCCGCTCGGGAGGGATGGAGAGCTCGCCTTCATTTTGCTCCTGCTCCGACGCTTCTTTTTGGTTTTACCTCCAGTGTCCTGAACTTGCCCAGAGGGCCCAAATTTTGGGGTCCCACG